CAACATGGCTATATGCCAGTGGTTCCCAAACTTGGCAACTTTAAGACTTGTGGACTTCAAATCCCAGAATTCTCCAGCTAGCTCTTCTGGCTGGAGAACTCTGGGAGTTGAAGTCCACAAGTCTTAAAGTTGCCAAGTTTGGGAACCACTGCTATATGCTAAAGGTGCAGAGAATGCTGTTACCTTCCCACTGAAGTGGTATTTATTTATCTACTCCCGTTTGCATGCTTTCAAATGCTAGGTGGGCAGAAGCTGGGGCAGGAACGGGAACTCTACCCATTGTGCGGTAGAGGTCTCAAACCTGGACTAAGGTCTTGAACCTGGGCTGTCACTCAGCGTCTTTAAGCACTAAGCCATCACACCAAGTCATCTATTGATGTACTTTACAGTATATCAAGTTAATTTGTTAGGAGCTACTGAAATGAGTGTGTATGAGGTGAAATCGTTTTCTTGAAAATAACTGCTTCAACCTGAACCACTGAGAAAACACCTCATAGAATTGGTAGCCATTAAGGTTGTAGTGATCCTTCCCTCTATTTTGCATGTCATAGCTGAATGAGCGTTAACTATTGGGAAACAATTTCCAGGTGCAGATTTCCAGACCCCTTTAAAGCAAGCGACTCATTTAAAATTATGGTGGTGATTTCTACAGATCTTTTGTTTAGATTAGCACCATTTTATTCGACCCCATGCCTATTTTATGCACACGTTTCCCTTTTTTATTTTGTTTTTGCTTAAAAATGGGGAAAAAACATGTCATCCTTTCTGTGAAAAAAATTCTTTGGATTTAATAGGATATGGCAATAGTGATACAAAGATCGGGGGCAATTCAGGTTTTCCTATGGTGGAAAAAACTGAACCTGCACAAAATTCCTTTCTTCTACATGTCATGTAATTGTAGAATGTTAATGTTAAAGGGGAGTTACAAATCATTCAACTGAACCTGTCTCTCAAGAACAAAATCCAGTGAATCAAAGCCCACCATCATTTGCAACTGTTTGCCCCCGTCTCAATTTTAGCTATTAGGAGGGTTCTTCAAAATCTTTTTCATTATAGTTTCAATTTCTGGCCCAAATTTTAGCAGTTGTAAAAGAGTTTCTATGTTGTTAAGGTTTAGTTGATCAATGAATAAAATCACATTTAACAAAGGATTCCTTATACATATCTCTTCATAGGCCAAGATTCAGTGTTGCATCTCAGGACATCTGTTCACCAAGTCAGCCTTCTTGTTAGAACATCCTCAGGATGTCTGGACCGTCGTTTGCATCTTCAGGCTCGGAGGACTCTGAAGAAATTTACAGTAAGACTCTTTTGTTTTATTTCCTAGAATGTAATGCTTCCTTCTTTTTACAGTTTTAAAATTCATGTTGGGGTGAGGGCAGCTTCTGAAGCAGAATACAGACCTATCCTTATTGTAGATTGTTCCTTTTGAAAGAGCCAACTTCATTGATGCTTGGTTTCTTTGGAGTTTAATACCTGGAGCATAAACCTATCCTAGGTTGAAGTTAATACTTCTTGCAGGTCAATTTTTAAAAAATCTGTTGGTATGGTGATACTCAGAGGCACCAGGTTGTTTATTCGGAATTTATGTTTGTATGACTATGCGTGTGTGTGTGTGAGAGAGAGAGATAGACAGGGGCGTAAATGCCCTTCCTGTCGCCAGTGCAGAGTTTTGTACAGCGGTTATATTCTCAGTGTGCCCAGAGAGAGAAATATCTGCCTCTACCTAGAATCGAACTCACAGCCTCCTGATTGTGAGGTGAGAACTCCACCTCTAGGCCACCGCACCACTCTTGACTCTGTTTCTAATGATATATACAAAGTGCCCCATACAAATTGGTCTTTAAACAATGAAGTATGGTAAGTCCTATGATGCTGACACTTAAGTCTTAGTAACTTTCCCTATAATATACAGTAACTTATTTCTGGATAACTAAGTGAAGTTCGTTGTTTATTGGATCAGAAATACGACTGGTATCTCAGCAAACCGGAGATGTGTTTACAATACCGTCTAAGGCCAGCTCTAGACCAGGCACCAAATCATGTAAGTCTCTCTTTTTAATTGTCTACTGTCAGCTCCCAAATTCCATTATGCAAGCAATCATCAGTGGATCATTGAGCAATTTCAACAAAATAGATTGGGTTTTGGAATTGCAGCACAACACAGGAAGCCATTGCCGTTTTAGCAACTTTGAGCAGATCAGTTACCATTCTTGCATTATTGTTCCTAAACTTGCTTGGCTATAGGATCTTTCAGGATCAGAGAATCTTCCAAATCATGTAGAGCCAATGTACTTTGATGTTCTCTTGGTCTGAAATCCGATTCTATGTTTTCATGAACATAAAAATCTTCCCTCTGCAATCCTCCCCATACCTTTGAAATTTCTGCCAGACAGTGATGGGATAAAAAAAATGTTACTACTGGTTCTGTGGGCGTGGCTTGGTGGGCATGGCTTCAAGGGCATGGAAGGGGAAGGATACTGCAAAATCCCCATTCCCTCCCGATCAGCTGGGACTCAGGAGGCAGGGAGGGTGTGGCCATTTACCGGTTAGAATTTACCAGTTCTCTGAACTACTCAAAATTTCCGCTACCGTTTCTCCAGAACTGAGTCAGAAACTGCTGAATACCATCTCAGTCACCAGAGCATCTTGAAGTTACATTGGAGAATGAAGGAAAGAAGAGGAGATAAAAAGAAAGTTGTTTTCAAAACCAATGTTTATCATGTGGCAAATAATAAATTGTCTTGATTTCAAATGAGGCTAAGTATAGAGCTATTCCTAATTTGGAAATCATTGTGACTTAAATGCTTGAGATTCCATTAAAATGCACTACTGCACTACTATGTCCAAATCTCTTTTCCAGTATGATATGTTGCAAGGCTTCCAAAAAGTTTTTTAACATGAAATGGGATAACTCACCATAGCCAACTTGCCATAGCCAACTCGCTGCGGGACAATTTTACACTTTATCATTTCAATGAGTTACTTTTATAATCGGTGACCACATTTCCTTGGAATGACTGTAACTCTTGTATTTCTGGATTGCCTTTATTTTATTATTATTGGCCACGGTTCTTTCGAAATGAATTTAACTTTTGTATTTGTTGAATTGTCTTGCAGCGAGTTGGCCGTGGCAAGCTGGCCAGTCAATTATATATCTTCAAATGATAATTCACTTGTCATGAAGTTCACCAGCCTTCTTTCATTCCTCTTTGCCCAATTAGACACATTTTGGTTATTCTTATTAATTTCCTCGTTATAGTTGGATGACATAATGCTGCTCGGCTATTGCTTTCTTAATATTCTTTTTGGTTTGTTCGTTTCTTTTGCAGCAGCTCCTCGAAACACAGACTTTCTGTTGGAACAAAACCCATTCAAAATCCCTGCAGATGTTGATATTTTTTTGCTGCGAGATAAACAGAAAGAAAAGGCCAGGATGGTATGTAGAAAATACAGGACGTTTCCAAAAGAATTTTTCCCCAGCCATGGCCAATCAGAATGCTGACAGTATGATGTGCCCTCTTCCCACTGAGCTGGTGTACTGTCTCATTGAATTAAGAGATTCCATAGCAGAAGTAATGTTATTATTCATGCAATATTATTTTGCATGAGTTAAGGAGAATCTCTGAGACTTTTAGAAAAACTCTGTGTATTAAATAATAAGATACACTGGTGGTTCTGTAAAAGAGTCAAAAGTACAATCTAAGATGAAGTGGGAAGCTGATTTTTTTTTAAAAAAAGACTATGGATGATAAGAGAGGATTGAGTGTTCAGACAACATGCATAGAGAGAATCTTCTTTCTTGTAAGGTTGGAATCTAGCACCATCCACTGAAAACGATTGGCTACACTAGCTAGAGATTATAGTAACTGGAACTCAATCCAACTGTAGGGCAGCTGGTTAAGGAAGCCTAACTTTTGTGTTCTTTGTGTAGTCTTGCTCGGCACTAGATTAAACAAATGTGGAATAGCAGCATCAAAACTAATTTCATAGTAAGTTCTGAGAGGAGGAGGCTATGCCCCATTTTTACAGAGTCCCAAGTATGTGGTACGGTTATGGGGTCTCCTGCTTGAATAGGGGAGTATGGACCAGAAGCTTTTCAAGGTCCCTTCCAACTCTGTTATTCTGTATTCTGTATATTTTGTATACAGTATTATAACTCATCTCACAGAGTGAATAATTAGAAAGTGCGGGAATCTCTAGCATGTATACACTATTGAAAGAGTGAAGTCTGTGATGGCTTGGGCATGTTGTAAGAATGGTTGATGGTTGGTTTCCGAAAGATCTCCTGTATGGAGAATTACTGCAGGGAAAGCGCCCCAGAGGGAGACCACAGCTGCGATATAAGGATATCTACAAGAGGGATCTAAAGGCCCTGGAAGATGGACATTAACAGCTGGAAAAGCTTGACCTCTAATCGTTCATCTTAGAGGCTAAGGACGCAGCATAGCTTTCTCCAATTCAGAGAGACACTTGTTTGGCAGGCTGAGGCAAAGAGGCAGTCCCGGAACCAGCGAAATCTGGGGGCTGGGCAGGGGACAAAATGTATCTGTGTGGAAAGGATTGCCACTCCCAAATTGGCCTTTTTAGTCACATCAGATGCTGCTTTGGGACATCTTTCCAGAGCACGATACCATCGTCTTTTGAGACTGAAGGATGAATTATAACTGATCTCACAGAGTGAATAATTAGCTCCAATGTGACAAAATACAATTCAATTTTGACCTCCTAAGCAACTGCATTTTCTTATACGGTCCTTTATGCTGGAGATATAATATTGCTGGGGCAGCCATCTTGTGAGGCCTCCGATAACCAAGGGGGCATTTAATCAACTCCTTCTTCCTTTAGGAGCGAGAGCGCCGAAAGACTTTGAAAGTCCACGAGAAGATGACTTGCTCCACTCTGCAGAGTTCCAAACAGTCGGGATTCAAGAGAGCGATCCAAATGGAAGAAGAAGCTGAGTACAAGGAGTTAGTAGCAGAAGCCGAACGACTCAAAGCTCTCCGAGAAAGCATCTCCTGGAAGATAGCAATTACTAAAGGTAGCTGAGGAAAGCATTCAGAACGAATGTAGTGGGATTATTACTTGGTATCAGAATATAGACTGCATAAGCTTCCAGCTTCAGATTCTCATTTTTTTCACATTCAAACTGAAATAATTTTAGACATGGTTTCCCAAATATCTGATCTAGGTGAGGGTTCAAACTTGCTTTAGGTTCGCGGGTCTCTTCCTGTCTCTGGTTAGCATTATCACTCCAAAGTAAAACACAATTGGCGTCATCTGTTCCAAGCTTTTAAGAGAAAAACAATCGGAAGGGAGGATTATTTTGAACAGGGAAATAGCCAAAGCAGCAGGCTTTGCTTTACATCTTGACCATAAATTGGAGTATAAGATGAATAAAATTTTCTGAATTATCTTCATGATGTTTCTAAAACACTCTGTAATATAAATGAGATTCACCAGAGTTTGGAAGTTTCTGATGGGCTCTTATCATATGCCATAGGGCAGTGATGGTGAAACTATGGCATGTATGCCACAGGTGGTACGCAGAGCCCCCTCTGTTGGCACGTGAGCCGTTGCCCTAGCTTAGCTCTACCGCTAATGCGCACCTCCCTCTGGCCAGCTGATTTTCGGGGCTCTGCCGCACATGCACGGGAGACAGGGAGCATGTGGGATTTGCACATGCATGCTTGGGGCAAAAGGGAGTGTGTGGGGTGTGGCATCCCCCCGCATGGTCCATTTTTCATCCATGGGGGCTGCAGGGAGGCCTGCTAAGGCCAAAATGGGGCACGGGTGGATCGCGCACGCATATGCAGGGGGGTGGGGGGTTGTGTGCGCATGCACGGGGTAGGGCGCACAAAGGGTGTTGCACGCACATTGCATTATGGGTGCAGGCACATGTGCATGTGTCACGCACAGGCTTTCAGTATGTGATGTCAAAAAGGTTAGCCATCACTGCCATAGGGTCATAGCATATGAAAGAGTTTTTTTATGAGCATCAAATCCTACAAAAGGCTGCTGTCTCCAGAAATGATATCTGCTGCTGTAATGCCCGATAGTCAGCGGCACATCTAAAACGTCCCTGATAGAAAGATCCAACCGTTATTTACAAGCGCTCAGAAAATAAGATTAAATGAAATAAACAGAGCAAAGATGAGTAGAAGAGACGAAGGGCAGTTTCACATAGAAGCAGAACATTTTCGGTAGTGGAACAGGCCAGTTTCTAAACCATGGGGGTGACAGAATTGTTGGCTGCAAGTGTCTCTCAACCAACTCAGTCAAGGGAAAGAGATTTTGGAAGCTCCGCTGAAAGCGTTGTCCTCTCACTTCACTGTGGCATTCTGCAGTTGGATGTTGTGGCTTGCACGGCTGCCCTCCCCCCCACTTTTTTTCCTTCCTTCCCTCCTTCCTTCTTTCTTTTCTTTCTTTCCCCCCAGACCAGGTTGTAGAGAGAGAGACCATGGATGATTACATCAATCAGAAACGGCAGATGTTCTTGCTACAGGTATTTCATTTTGTTCTAGTGGTGTTGCCTGTACGTCAGTTTGAGGTAGCAAAGAGGAGCTTGGGATCTGTATTGGGGACAGCTGGGATCAAGTCTTTTTTCTTTTCTTTTTTTGGGGGGGCCATCAAATTCACTGGAGGGCCTTGGGGGAGACTTAACTCTTGCCAACCCAATTGTTGCAAGGATAACATTGGAGGAAACAGCACCCGTTTGATTCTGAATGCTTTGAAAAGGGAAGGGTTACAAATGCAGCATTAAATGAAGTTGCTTCGTTGCAACTCGATGGTAACTTTTAACATGAGGAATCATTTCAATAAATTGCCTGGTTGGAGATGCTTGCTGGCTTATGCCGTGAGCTTCTCTGCTTACATAGAGTAAGTTCTGGTGGAGAAATACATGGCCGTATCCCATTTATAGCCACAGCATATTTTCCCATGTCTGGGAATAGGCGTGTTTGTGTGTATGGATTGCATATCTGTATAGAATAGATAAACACAGATACAAATGATACTACCATGTTTCCCTGAAAATAAGGCAGAGTCTTATTTTCTGTTCAACCCCGAAATAAGCGCTTGTCCTTATTTTCAGGGAGGTCTTATTATTTTTGAGGTGCAGGAGGCGGCGAGTGTGGTCACCTCATGGCTGCTGCTGCATTGCAATATTTTCAGGGAGGGCTTATTTTCGGGAAAGGGATTATTTAGCGCAAGCTAAATAATCTCAAAAGCCCGATTGGGCTTATTATCCAGGGAGGATAATATTATTTTCCTTATTTTCAGGGAAACAGGGTATATTTTACCAAGTCTATTTATGGAATTCTGCACCACCTATCTCTCCTGTCAGTGGCCGTTATCTGTTATACGTCTTTAACGTATCTATTAAAAAGAGAAAGATAGAAATCATTGGACAGTTTGGAGGTAATAGATGGGTAGAAGCAGGGGTGGGTTTCAACCAGTTCATGGTGGTCCCCGCAAACTGTTTGGTCGGCGAACCCGGAAGTAAGTAACTTCCAGGAACGGCGACGGGCTCACCCGCCCGCCCGCGCTCCTTACCGGTCTTTGAAGGCTTCTGCGCTTCCACGCAGGCGCATGGCACATACAGCGCCTGCGCGATTCTCCACAAGCAGCTGGAGCATCGCGCAGGCGCTGTATGTG